TTCATCCTTGATGACTTGTATTTTTTTTTTTCTCTCCTTGTTTAGAGGCTTTTGCTGCTCTTAAAATAGCTGCAGAGAAGTTTTTATCCATCTCAAAATCAAGAATTTTGTTACTGAAACTTCAGCTGCTCCATGAGCGTGCTTTACATAGGTAAGTTTACCATGTGCACTATTTCATGAATATCTTGATCATATACAGTAATTTTTGTGTCTATGTCGGTCATGACCTTGCCAAATATCATTTAGAGGACATTTGAAGTTTGCCCAACAAGTATGTGATGAGCTTGGAGTCCTGGCATCATCTGTCAATGGCGTGGATATGGAACTGAAGACGGAAGCAAGTCTCAGAAAAGCTCGTACATTGCTTGCCTGCAAATCAGTTCAGTGAGGTTTGATATTTTCAATACATTGAACTTGTTACCTTGTAAGTAGATTTCGTCCTACAAATGTGTGCCATGCTTTTCTTATTATTTTGGCATTTCATTGCAGGCGGCAGCTGTAGCACACTCCCTCTTTTGCATGTGTTACAAATTCAATATGCAAGTTGAAAATGCCAGTGTGCTTCTTTTGCTAGCTGAAATCCACAAGGTACAATTGTACATTTGGTACACTAATGTGGTCGGAGGTTCAGGCAGACTAAAGTTTTCATAACTCCTGTCTTCTTATCTATCTGTTTGTCTATTAAAATAGTTCCTGTTCTATATTTCTGCAAAGGTAAAATTTCTTTTATTTCTGTTTCCAGAAATCAGGTAATGCTGTTTTAGGTCTTCCGTATGCATTGGCAAGCCTCTCGTTTTGCCAGTCGTTTAATCTGGATCTGCTTAAGGCATCGGCCACACTCACACTAGCTGAGTTGTGGCTCTCACTTGGATCAAGTCATGCAAAAAGGGCCCTGAGCCTGGTACATGGGGCTTTTCCTATGATTCTTGGTCAAGGAGGTTTGGAGCTCCGTGCTCGGGCCTTTATTGTAGAAGCAAAATGCTATCTATCCGATCCAAGCTTTTCCAGTAAGTATATACAACGCATTTCCAGATAACATGTTTCATTGTCGTCGATTCATGAGGAGTTATCCTCGGCTTTATGGCTTCATCAAACATATTTTATTTGAAGTCCTAACTAATTTCGCATTGCTGTTGCAAATTTGACTCGCCAGTTTCTGAAAGCTCCTGATGATGTGCTGGATCCGCTGAGACAAGCCTCGGACGAGCTTCAATTGCTAGAGGTAAATATACTTGCTGAGTTTGAGTTTTCTGAAACATATGCTTTTATTGGTTGTGTTTAATGGCTATGAAAAAATGGTTCTGGTGGACAGTATCACGAATTGGCGGCCGAAGCTTTCTATTTAATGGCTATGGTGTTCGACAAACTGGGAAGATTAGAGGACAGAGAAGATGCTGCGGCTTCGTTTAAGCAACACATTTTGGCTTTTGAGAATCCGCAACATGAGGAAGATCCTCTTATCAACATGTTTTGAAGGTAGATTTATATGTCGTCGTGTAAACCAGCCATTTTAAGATGGATTATGATTCGTGTAGGCTGTAATGTAAGCTTGTATAGGCATGAGGAACTGAGGGTATCTGATTAGGTTGTGTGCTGAGTAAATGCTCTTAATCACATCCTTACATTTAGGTTTGGTCATATTTTTCTTATCACTTTGAAATACGTGGATTAACGAAAAATATTCTTGTGATCTAGAGGAACGTTATTTTGCTTTTTACATGTAAGACGATCTCTTACCGTTACCAATAAAAAAATTTAATTTATCCACACTTGCCAAACAGATTTTTTCTGTCAGGATTTAGGTCTAGCTATTAATTTGTAAGTGAGAGGTTTTAAGTTTGAATTTTGTCGAAAAATTTGAACCATATTATTATTAGGTTTAGTTGACTTCCTCGTTATATTTTTGCAGATAATATTATTTGATAAAAAAAATAAAAAAGAATTCCCGAAATGCTATTCTGGCTTTTCACCATTTTAACAATCATAGTTTTCACTGCAAAACAGCCTTCTGACTGGATGAAGTTGAGTCTCACACGTCAGTACAAGGCCCATATTGAGAGAGGATGACCGATTCTCTTTGTAGGATCTCAAGATCTATTAATCACATTTATTCATAGTATGTGATCAGTTTTTATTAAATATTATTTATATTTAATTTTAAATAAAAATAATTTACAATAATTTCTGTTTACGTAATATATAATGAACAGACGTGATTAAATAATCTCAGCCACGTGTCAGATCACCTTCACTTCCAAGTCCACCGTCAGTTACTGCTATGACGATATCTCACTCACCCCCCGCCGCCACCACCACAACTACGACAGCCACCGCAACCAGCAGCACCATGGGCCAGGAAAATGACACCCAGTTCAACCTCGTTGGCTTCTCCAACTTCGTACGGACCAACCCCCGGTCCGACCGCTTCAAAGTCCACCGCTTCCACGGTTCCACCACGTCGAGTTCTGGTGCACCGACGCCACCAATGCCGCCCTCCAATTCTCCTGGGGACTGGGCATGCCCATGGTAGGTAAGTCGGACCTATCCACCGGCAATCAAACCCACGCTTCCTACCCCCTCCGCTCCGGCGACCTCGTTTTCCTCTTCACCGCCCCGTACTCCCCCACCCTGACCCGAACCGCCGACCCGGCCAGGCCCAGAACCACGGCCTCGATCCCCACCTTCGACCACTCCGCCTCCCGCGCCTTCTCCGCCACCCACGGCCTTGGCGTCCGCGCCGTCGCCAACCAAGTCGAGGACGCCGTCTCCGCCTTCACAGCCAATGTCGCCCACGGCGGCCCCCATCCTCCTGGACAACGGCGTCACCATCGCCGAAGTCCAACTGTACGGTGATGTCGTTTTGCGATACGTCAGCTACACGGACCACAACCACCTCACAGACCCGGACCCCAACCTCTGGTTCCTCTCCGGATTCGAATCCCTAACGTCGTCGTTCCCAATCGACTTCGGAATCTGCCGCCTCGACCACGCCGTCGGCAACGTGGAGGATCTCAAATCGGCGGTGTCCTACGTCAAAGGCTTCACCGGATTCCACGAGTTCGCCGAGTTCACCGCCGAGGACGTCGGGACGAGCGAGAGCGGACTCAACTCCGTCGTCTTGGCGAACGACGAGGAGATGGTGCTGTTTCCGATGAACAAGCCGGTGTACGGGATGAAGAGGAAGAGCCAGATTCAGACGTACCTGGAGCACAACGAGGGTGCAGGAGTTCAGCATTTGGCGCTGGTGAGCGAGGGCATATTCAGGACGCTGAGGGAAATGCGGAGCCGGAGCGGCGTCGGCGGGTTTCAGTTCATGCCAGCGCCGCCGCCGGCGTATTGCAGGAATTGGAAGAAGAGGGTTGGGGACGTGCTGACGGATGAGCAGATTAAGGAGTGTGAGGAGTTGGGGATTTTGGTGGATAGGGACGATCAGGGGACTCTGCTTCAGATTTTCACTAAGCATGTTGGAGATAGGTAAATGTCATAACTTTCTGTGCTCTTTTTTCATCGTGTTTTTCAATATTCTAAACTACTCTAACTTACAAGAAGCCGGCATCGGACAAAAAGTGAATATACTTTTCGAAAAGTTAATAACTTTATGCTTCTCTGTGTATTTCATGATTCAATTCTTGGTGGGGGAATATGGTTTATCATGATTCTGTCAAACTATATGCCTGTCGAGTTGGCTTTTTTAGTGTTTAGCTTCGATTTTAGTCCTTTCAATTCGAGTCTTATGTTGTCCTTTGAGAGAAATATCGAAAATTGGTCATTCGGAGTCATGTTTTAAAGTTTATGCCTTTGTGTGTGAAAAGGAAAAATTGATCACGAATACATTAATAATGCAAATCACATTACCCCTGCTGTATCCATCGTTGGATTAATTGGTTCTTGTATAAAACAGGCGGGCCAACCATATTCGTAGAGATCATTCAGAGAGTAGGGTGCATGCTTAAGGATGAAGAAGGAAAGGTACAGCAAAAGGGTGGATGTGGTGGGTTCGGGAAGGGTAACTTTTCCGAGCTCTTCAAGTCCATCGAGGAATACAAGAAGACGCTTGAAGCCAAACAGATCGCTGAGCCAGCCAACGGCTGCCTGATTCACCTTTGTCTTAGATACTGTAAAATAAGGTAATTGCTGAACCCAGGTTCGCTGTACTCTACTTTTAAGGCTGTTGTATACGTAGTGTCTTACTGTGCGTAACAATCTGTATGGCTGTCACTGACTGTTGGTGCCCGTTGATTTATGCACAATGACACAAATTTTATTGCTAATTTATATTTGTCGAGTGTAATCATCAATCACCGACTTGTTGCACCCTTGACATGCTTGTAATAACCAACTTCAGCGAGGAATTAAGATTGAAATATTAACTGTAATCTTGTGTTCTTGTTTTTCTTAATTTTATTGGACCATGTACAACTTCGGCAATTCTGTTCTTTTATTATCAACCAGATCAGTTGTTTGGAGCTAGAAATAATTGAATCTTCACTTGTACATTTTCTATACTAGGCTTCCAGATGGACGTGGGTGGTGAGAGCAGTTGTTTCCCGTCATTCATGAAATTGTTTGATAGATTATCATAGATCGCGAAGTTGAAACAAACTGATCGTGACGAGTGTAGCGGAAATTTCAATAGCTTAATCTAGATACACGTTTGGTGACTAATTTAGGTCATTCTTGTTAGAGAATTGAGATTGCAGTTCGTTTCAGCTGACGAAAATGCAGTGTGGATGTTCGAGTTACAGTGACTAGCAGGATGTAGCATGCTGTTGAAGTTTCAAACTATATGCCATTGGTGTGGATTTTCAGGCACAACTTTAACTGGTCATTCAAAACACCAACTCACTGATCCCGGTTGAAACCCAAAACTCGGTATTACAGGGGATGAGCATTGTAGTCTGTTTTTACGGTCTTTGACTCGTGGAAACGAGATCGGAGTTGAGTCGGGTTACCTGTGTGAGACGAGTCTCCAGCACGGAAGGATGAAAACGTTGGAAACATTTGGCTTCAAGTCAGCAATGTGCTTGCCTTATTTATATAAATTACACTTAGAACAAACATCAAATTAAAGGAACTTTGCTAGAGAAGTTTTGAGTGCATATTCTGAGATTATTCGATTGGTTTTCTCAGAAGGATGGAAGGCATCCCAAAACACGTATTTATTTGCATCCTCACAGGTAAATGGATTGAACTGACCGCAGAGGAAACTCATCTCAAACGTTCCTGAGCCGCAGCATCCCACTCTTGCTTCCTCCAATCCTGTCATCCAGAAGAGAACACACTTTAAACCCAGAAGATTTACTGGACAAATTTAGAGAAAAAGGAGGCTAAACACTTGCAAGTTTTCTTTTCTCCAGATAAGGGTTGGACAAAGAGAACATATTGTAATTTATTAATTTTAAAATTGCGGAGAGAAATGAAACGGATAAATTTCTTGCTTTAACGTGGTACAAACCGATTCTATTTGAGCATATTTTTCCAATTTTGTAGTTCTGAGTTGCTTTAATAGGAAATATGCGCAAATAGAGTTAGTTACGAACTTTTAATAAAACAAACACTAAATAGGTTTAATTGTTTCTTTGCTATCCTTTTAGCATTATTTTTTATTAAACGTTTGTAAACGATCTATTAAATCATGATATAAATTAGTGGTTTTTCACATATTAGTCCTTTGATAACATTACAGTAAGTAGAAAACTACTTCAAACTAAATACTTTAAAGAAAAACCTAATTGACATCGTAAAGTGCACAAGAGTAATTTCCCAACTGAAAATCAATTGAAACACAATAAGTGGATAGATGAGAGGTTTTGTTTTTCTCGAATTGAGTTCTTCACGTATTTTTGCATAAAGCTTATAACTGCTAGAGTATTTTTCTAATCTCTGATAATTAATAAAACACTCATTATTAACTAAAATTTTATGAAATTATCAGTTTAACCATCTAATTAAAACAGAATATGAATAAGAAATATGAGACAGAAATGTAATTTCACACAACCAAATTTTACTTTTTTTTTCAAAGTCTCACCTATATTGTAATCCTAACATATCTGTAATTAAAAAAATTCTCACTCCCACATTCTCTATCCCTCTCTTTCTCTCTCCTACTATTAAAATAACACTTGTTTGATATGCCAACATGTAGAAGTCAAAATCCACTATCTTTTCAACGGAGTTCAGAGTTAAAATTTAGGGGCCGTAGAATTAATAATTAGAGAATTAATGCAAGTTAAAGACTTACCAAATGCAGAAGGCCTTTTTATGATTTGCAAGAAAATGTAATAAACATCTGAAAACGTCAAATCAAGCCCTGGAAGCTCCTCATTCAGCTTTGCCACCAAACCCTGCAACTTGCCATTAAACTCCAAAGCTAAGTTGTTGCGTTCCTCCACACATGAATTTTGCCCCATAATATTTGTGGCCCTCTCCAATGGCAAACACCCCATTGGAGGAAGCCCTGCAAGCGATATCTTCCGAGCTCCTAGAACGTATAGTTTCTTCAGAAAATCTGCGGCAAGATCGATCAGGAAATCTTCGTACTGTTTCACGGTGAACTGGGACTGCCGGTTCGGGAGTGTAAAGTAGTTTTCAAGGAAGTCATTTGTTCCTATGCTGATCAAATATAATGCCTCACTTAGTAGCTTCTTTGCCTTCTTAATTCCAAGATAGGCTTTTAGTTTCTTTTGGTATTCCTTGTAGTACTCCACTTCTTTCCACAGTGGAATCACTTGCTGCATTAAACACAAAAAAATGATGAGGTATTTAGCCTAACATGTTTAATTCATCAACATAAATTAGTTAATGCAAGGAGCATGCAACTCAGTTGGTTAAAAGCATACAACACTGCATTTGAGGTTCTGCGTTCGACTTTCTCTCCCCCAGTATCACTCGTATAAATAAAATATGAGTTGGTTGATTACTTACTACAACATCAGAAGTGGAATTATCATAGCCAGTTCCTGCAGAAGCGAAGCAAACACCAGTGGCAAAATCTGAGATGTTGTAAGTTGGATCTAAATAGGCAGGTATAATTGGCTTGCAGCCTAGACCTTCGGAGATGAAGTCAGGAGGAATCCGGCCATTGCAGAACCGCCCGGTGGGCTGGCCTCCCGGAAAATCTTGACCATAAGGCTGGAAGTTGCTCCTGGCAATTGTAGGAATGAAGTTGTTGTTACCTGAATCAACAGAAGAATCTCCAAATACTATGACTGCTGGAACTTTAGCTCTACATTTGGCAACAAGGGTTAGGATTTGAACTAAGAAAAGCCAGGGAATATACAAGTTTGCCATGTTGCTTTGTAACTATATGATTTCTTTTTGCAAGCTCACAGTTGGATGGAAATATGTGAAATGAGAATAACTATATTGGTGGGAGATATTAGTTTATTTTATTGCTCATTTATTTCATGGAATGATAGAGAATGTGGATATAATTGAGCCACTTCCCATTCAACGACGACACATATTTGACCATTGAATCAGTTTAAGATGTTGAATCAAATTCAGTCAGCAAATAAGTGTCAACACTGAGTCCGTAAGTACTTAAGAGAAATCAATAATTGAGAAAGTTTGGTGAGGGGTTCTACTTATTATTATGGCAGTAGAAAGCTTGGTATGTACAAGCATTATGGGGTCAGGATTAACCAAAATGGGTTAAAGATGGTGCTGCAATTCAGTATGCCTAGATTTTTGAAATCATAAAATTTTGATGAAAAGTAAGGAGTAAAAAGTGGAAAACCCCATTAAAAACCAACAAATGGAAAGTTCATGGCTCCAAAAAATGAGTTGCTTGTGTGATTGTTGGTATTGGTAATGCCATAAATGTAGTGGATGGGGGTTGTCAGGTATTGGAACGCTTCTATGTGAATTCAATTCTCCATTCCTGTTCCTGAGGAAAAGATAGAAAAATCTTCCAGCACTCCTTGTTACCAAAAAATAAAAAGTAAAAAAAAGATAATGATGCAGCTGGTAAGTTGAAGACAAAATGACCGTGCTGTGCACCAAGGAGGATTTAAAATTAGGGTGTGATATCCACACACTCTATTTTACTTCTTATATATTTTTTTAATTTTCGGCCGTTTGATCGGATGAATTGAAGAAGATCAACGAACAGAAATGATAAAGGGGTGTGTGAGAAATAAAATAGGGTGTGTGGATAGCACACCCCTACTATGTCAATCAACAATAATACTCATGATTTCCAAATTTTAGGGATAAAACTGATGTATATATCCTGTATTTGAATTTTCATGCACAATCCGAGTGGAAATTCTAGCATACAATCGGGAATATATCGCCATTGTTTTCTATTTTTTATCATATAACGTGACAAAGTTAAGTGAAATATAAAAAGATGAGGATATATTGAGGAGACACCCAAAAATCTACCTAATTTGAGAAACAACAGTAATTTTCAAAGACCACCAAACTTCTACGGCCTTGCATATTGTGTGGTCCATAATTAAGAGGTATTAAAGACATTAAAGGCTTCCCTAACGGATAAGTACTCTGGTTGGTGCCCGTTCATGAGGAATGCTGTCATCCCTTCATGTGCAATGATCGATCTTGCTCTCAGAAGAGCACAGTTGGCCCATTTATACGTGCCATGGTTGGGACCCAATTACTTGACACATCAGCACTTAACATAATTTTTAACGGAATTATGATGGAAGAACCACATTGATTTGCGAAATTCAATTTCAAGGACTACATTGATTGATTTTCAATTTTAAGGACCATCTTGATGGGATGGGTGAATTTCAATGACCGTTTGTGATAAAAACCCTTCATGCAATAAAAACCATATGTGTAACATCTCAACAATCTTGACATGCTTGTATGAATTGCTGAAATTAGACATTCAAGAAGAAAGGATGAATCTTACAGAGGAAGAAAAGACAACACAATTGTATTTCTCAATATTCAGTTTGTTACAAAATGTTAACCGACTCACTAAAGTAAGAGAGGGAAAGTCTTTATATACTGTAGACATCGAAATTTCGGTGAAATAAATGTTCACTACACATTAAAGTTTCGACATTCAAAGCATACGTGGCATGCACCATGTGTCTGACAAATCGTACACATGGATGTGACTCATCAAAATCGGATGAGTCATAAAAAAGGGCATGTGTCAACACCTGGCGAAAATGAATTATTTGATTATAATTAATTAAATCAAATGTTAATTAATGGAGTCAAATCACGAACCGGCCCACAAATCGAGTCCTGATTCTTTCGTCAATTAATCAAGGCCAAATCCATTCGTAGGCAAGACTTAGAAAGTCTATAAATACGAGGCTCCAAGTTAAAGAAAGGATCCAAAGAAAAATCATTCATGCCCAAACGTTGAAGCTTTGAAACTCTGAAGCTCTTAAGCACTCAAACGCCTACACATGCCAATTCCTCCTTTGACAAGAACCAAAACCTTGCAGCATCCGTTCATCCAAGATCAAGTCATCGCGACCCTTTGATCAACAACACTACACACTTTAAATTTCGGAGATCGAAACCGAGGTCAAGTTGTAAAGAGATTGTAACCCTACAATTACATTCATACAAATATTATTTTGTACACGTGTTCTCTTGTCATTTGTCACAGGATTTTCATGTTTACATATACAACATTCCAAAGTTATCTTATGACATGAGCAATTGCTAACATGGCACTTGCTTATGTGTAACATGTATATCCAAGACAACACAATCAAATCATGACCAAAAAAACAGACACACAATAAGCTCAAGACCTGAGAGGAATTGGAGATTATTGTTATTATTATTAAGATGAGAGGCTAGCTGGAAGGTTATGGGAGGACAAGCTGCAGTGAAACAATGGAGGAGAGAGAGAGAGAGTTCGAAAAGGTTATGTACCAATGCTTGTAGGGAAAGAAGGGGACATGGAGAAACTGTGGATACCCATCAAGCTGATCAGCCATCCAAGCATTGTTTCACTGCTTAGAAGTTCAGCCCATGAATTTGGATTTAGCAACGTGGGTTGCTTAAAGATACGATATGTTCATATGTTCAAAGGTATGATAAAGAGTTTATCGAAACAAAAATAGTCTAGGTATATATGTAGTTAAGATGAACACTCCTAGGCTCTTAATGGTCACTCTCTCACGCGCGTAATAGGTATGGTAACTCCAACAGTAAAAAGGATACAGGATACAGAAGCATGGGCAAGCATTTCACAAGAACAATAAATTTATGCATAATTTGTATTTCTTTTATTTATGTATAATTTGTCATAATGTAGTGTAATCAGAGTATAAGTATAGCAGCAGAGTTAAATCATGCATAATTGCACATCCCATAAACACACTCGCCCTTGTTGCACCTCTTGTTGCACCCACCACAATGCATCTTGTCAATTATGCGTTGATGCACTTGCCCTTGCAACAAATCTCAGTGTACTTGCATTTGTGGCCGCACGTCCCGCAGTTGAATCGATCAGTCTTCACCTCAACACATTTGTCGTTGCAGCAGTCATGCCCCAGACTGTTCCTCAGATGACAAACCAGGGGAAACCTGTCGCAACTCGCATTCGCGAGTAGATTCTTTTGAGCAAGAAAACGGCTCACTCCTCTTAAAGAAGTAGTTGCTTTTGCTTCATCTGGTATTTCAGGCAATGCTGCTTCAGTAGTACTCCTTTGCATTTCCCCGTCTTCGATATAATCAGTGTCTATATTTGCAGCTGCAGCAACGGCCATTGCTGCTAGGAGAGTAAAGAAAATGTTCATCAACTTCATGGCCATAACTGAATAATGAGGAAATCAAATGATGTATTTTTATTGTAGGGAAAGGTAGGAGCTTCTGAGGTACTTACTAGGCATCAATAACATGTAGGGTTTTATAGAAAGACTGAGGGGAGAGTTAAAAACAGGAAACTGAATGTAGTCATGCATTATTCAATGGCAGTCTAAATTCATTGGGCTAGCTACTTGCAAATTACTCCCTTGCTGAATATTGTGTATGAAGAAATCATAAAGTCAAAGACAAAAAAAAAAAAGTGAAAAAAAAAAGTAGTAAACTTAAAGCCTCTTGTTGATGAAATGTGATTAGGCTACAATAAAATTACAGGTTGGAACTTGGTACAATGATATATATATATATATATATATATATATATATTTGTCCTAATTAACCCAATAAAATTCTGCTTCTGTGACAAAAAATTGACTTTTCTCATTGAAATTGTTATTACTTCAGAAAAACCATGCCAGCAATAAAGGGTAAAGTAAATAGTATCAGAATTGATTTTTTTTGTGTAAAAATGTGACTTTTTGTTAAAGTGAATAGTACCGGGAACTTTTCGTTAAAGTTCCCATCAAAAGGAAAATTAAGAAAAAATGTTTGAAAACTTTGAGTTTTAACGATAAAGACAAAATAAATGGTAAAGTGAATATTACTAGGATTGACTTTTTAATATAAAAATGTGGTTTTTTGTTAAATGAACAGTACCAAGAGTTTTTCGTTAAAGTTCCCTTAATCAAAGCCTGATTATCCTTAAAAAAACGTTGCTTCGGAGAGAAACCATGCATAATCAGTAATCAAAGCCTGATTAGCCTCAGCTGATTGACTTGGACACAACTTCATGGTTAGGAAACCTCAAATGCAAGTTAGTTAATTATACTGAGAGCAATAACTTCGTCCTACTTCCATTAAACCGCAGTAGTCAAAGCCTGATTATCCTCAGTTTATTTTTTTTCTTCTCTCTCCTGTCGTCAATGCCCAAACTTCATCATGCAATGAACAGGGGAGCACTCAGCTGGTTGACTTTGAGATACAACTTCATATTCTGGAAATTTACTCTATGCAGATTGCAGAGCCCTGCACAACTGAACTGAAGTAAAATCTAAGAACGTCACAGGAAATGTAACGTTTGGCTAAAGGGTTCGCTTAATTAAGATACTTATTAATATGTGCAATTCAGCTAATGCTGAAATTACAGGTATGTGGTATTCTAAATATTATAGGATGGGGTACAAAGTTGACAATTGGATACAACGTATGTTTGCTTTGAACATTTTTCAAAACAACAAAGAAAAAAAAACACATCGTACTCTTTGGAAATACTACACGAATCTCGAAATTCAAACTCATTTAACGGTGATAATATAGGATGGTGTTCATACACCACACTAAATGGTGGTGAGCAAAAATTATCCCATAATTTTTTGATAATTCTAATTACTTTGCTATAAAATATAGAGCATAATTGGACATGGTCTCGGTTTCTATTCCTATCTAGTATCCTCTAGCTTAGTGTTTTATAAACTGTGGTCTTTCTGCGAAAAGGAACATATTCTGGCATGGTATTTTGTGAAACGTGATCTTTCACATGAAAGGGAAACATATTCTGGCATGGTAATTTATACAATGTGATCTTTCTATAAGAGGTAACAAATTCATTTATAAAAAAAAACAAGACAGATGTACGGTAGGGTTCCAGATCTCATTAGTTTGGCAATCAATCAAATTCCATACCTATCTTTTGGTGGAAATATTACTGAATGTGGTAGATGCCTATTTGTTTGCCATGCTTGAGAAAAGCAAATGTTCTCTTAAACTTATGCAACCTCCACATCAAAGTATGATTCCCAACCTTTGCTGTAAAAAAACCAGTAGGTAATACTTTATAGTATAGTATTAGTAGTACAGTATATATCCAAATAAGGATGTGTATGCATTGAGACATTTTGATTAGACAAAATATATAATATCCTTGAAGGAGATAAATGTTTTCATTAACTTTTTTTCCTTGGAAAAAATGTACATATTGGTCATATTTCTTATGTTGGTCATTCGTGTTTATACTCGTAATTAAACTTTACATCCAAATTAATAAAATAAGTCACTTAATACTACGGTATAGTGACATTCTTCTTCACTTGTAAATAAGATGGCTCATATTTGATTCTTGCCAAAGCTAAATTTGAACCACATCATTATGACAAGCTTATTGTAAGGCTTAGCCCACTTCCTTACCACCTTAGTATGGATATATACTATCGCTTGTTAAAAAAAATTATAAAATAAATCTTCTGTAAAAAGTAGGGATGGCATTTCTAACCGTTAAACCCAATAACAATGGATAACCGTCCGAATGGATTGGATTTGGATATGAAAATTCAGGTATGGTATGGATATGGGGAAAAACCATGAACTTTATTAGGTTATGATTTTGGATATGGTTATAGGGGTCCCCAATCCATATCCGTCCCCAAATCCGACCCGAATATATTGTGTGTGTGTGTGTGTATATATACATATATACATATTTGATGTATAATATAATTTTATTCAATTTACTGAACCCTCCCTATACTAATTCATTATGCATGCATCAAACCCTATACTATCTTTATTATGCACCAAACATCATGCATGGGGCATACCAACAACCTCATCAATTCAACACTGTTATTATTATACTCAACCAAATTAATTCATTGAATCATTTTATATATCAATTATCACATGTTCCAAGTTTATTAGATTCATCTCTCTTCAAGAATCTCACTGTCAAGAAATTAATTCGTTAAATCAATTTGTTTTGTCTTTCTTTCGCATTTGCTTTTGTCCTCTTTTTCCTTTTCATTGGACCAATTTATCATATTGGCTTATCATGAACAACTTAAAATAGATATTGTTATGTTTTTTGTAATTGGATGTTGCTATTTAATGATGGAATTAGTATCTACTAAAATTTATAGTGCATCAATTGGATAAATATATATATATATATTGACGAAAATGGATATAACCGATAACCGATTGAAAATCCGTTACTCGGTAAATATGGTTATGGATAATCCCCGATAATTAATTTGCAGTTATGAATATGGTTAATTTTCGTGGTTATGGGGATGAATATAGCATTTCCATCCCCAAACAAAACCGTTGCCATCCCTAGTAAAAAGAGTATGTATTTTTAATTAATATTGAGGTTTTTTTTTTTTTTTTTGAAAAATCAAGCCACGAGGAGAATTTTTATTAAATTAAAAAAGCTACACCGAACCAGGAAAGACATAAACCTATTGATACAAAAATTCATTTCATAAAAAAATGGAAAGAAAAAGAAAAGATTTAGAATAAGGTGCTCTTATTAGCAGTTCAAAAATCTGATTGTATACTCTTCGTAAGTGTATTTTCTTTTCTAAATATAAAAAATTTAGAGTGCACAATGAGATTTTTGAAGTGCTTAACACTTCAAAAATCTCATTGCATACTCCTTATAAGTGTATTTTTCTTTCTAAATATAAAAAACTTAGAGTGCACAATGAGATTTTTGGAGTGCTAATAACATCAATCTTAGAATAAAGGGTAATATTATTGAATTTGAATCATTGTTTTTACGGAAATATTTTGAAATATCATATGAACTTGTTCATATTTTTCAATTTGTCATATAAACTAAAATTTTAAGCAATTTGTCATACCAACTTTACAAAATCATTAATTAAGTTTTTCATCCAATATAAGTTATGTGTGAGACTTGTGTTCAGGGTTATTTAGGTCATTTTAACATCTTTTCACAAGTTTTTTTTACTTTTCTTTAGTACAAACACTTAAATTTTTACCTTTCTTGAGCCATCTTCAATTCAAAACACTCAATAGCTGTTGGTCCCCTTTTTGGACTAAAACTCTAAGAACATATATGTGTATCAATAGCCTGTTTTGTTGCTTTAGAAACCCTAGAGTTTGTTGTCGAATGCAACTTAATAAAAGGGAAGTAAGGTATTAGAATGATTGAAATAACCCTAAACATTTGATGTAAAACTTAATGGAGATAGGGAGAGATGACAAATTAATGATTTCAAAAAGTTGATATGGCAAATTCCTTAAAATTTAGTTTATATGACAAATTGAAAATTGCGTACAAGTTCATAGGACATTTCAAAAAATTTCCCTTGGTTTTACCTTGTAATTCACTTATAATTAGCGTGCTATCCTTTTTTTTTTTTTTTTTTTTTATTAAACAAACAAGTTAATCAAAAAGTAAAAACACAAATAAGGGACACTTTGGATGCGGTCCTTAGCTATCAATATTCTTTGATTGAAACCTTTTCTGTTTTTAGTTTTTGATCGAAGTCCCTAACATTAATGTAATAGTTTTTAAATTAAAAATTAAAAATTAAAATTTGTATTTGTTTATATTAATGAGATTTTAAATATAACCCATAATTTGTGGGATTAAAAATAATAAAATATAAATTATAATCTCTATTACATTGTGTGTGTGTGCGCGCGCTCGCATGTGTTTGTGTGTGTGTGTGTGTGTGTGTGTGTATATGTATATATAGGTACATTCATCAAAATTAACAAAAAAAAAAAATTATTGTACCAAAACATGTAAACATTCTTCAAACCATAGAAAAAAAAGATATAAAGCTTAATAACATTAGTAAATTTCTTAAATTTGATATAGATACATTCTCAAATCAACGAAAAAAGAATGTACACATATAAGTTTAAAAATGGATGAAAATTTTTTTAATTGATTTTATATTAAAAAATTGGGTACATTTTATATAAAAAATTTGTACATTTTATATTTAAAAATAGTACATTTTACATATAACAAATTGGTCTATTTTAGAATTGGTACATTTAAGATTAAAAAAATTGAGAATCTTTTTATTAAAAACTAAGGGGTACAAACTTATTTTAATTAATTTATTTATTTGAAATGTTTGAATTGAAAATTAATTAGGAGTTTAATGAGTATTAAAACCCTAAATCAATTATTAATTTTTTATTTAAAAAAATGTAATAAACATGTAAATTCATTATCACATTAATGCTAGGGACTTCAATTAAATTTGAAAACTAATAAGGTCTCAGTCAATGAACATTAGTAACTAGAGATCAAATAAAAAATTTTCCTACAAATAAATTGAAAGATTATACAAATGGACTAACAGGCAGCAGGTACATGCACTCTCGTGATAATTAATCAAAAGCCTAAAATGACACCAAAAGGAGACCTAAAAACACTATGTAAACATGTGCAAAATTCAGATGCACTAAACACATAGAAAACGACCGATATACGTACACTGCATTGAACATGCTGCTTATCCCCTCCCGCCCCGCTTCTGTCCAAATGCGCTTTTCCATCT